TGATATGGAGGCTCGTAACAAGAAGAAAGCACTATGGGCGGAAAGTTGAAGGAGGCGGTTCCCAAATGCTGCTAGCTGGGAAATCTTCGACTACATGACTCTCTCTATCGCTTCGTCGGTGAGAGGGGCACCCAGCAATGTAGCTACTTCTGGGGAAATAATTTTGATGCCAGGGGATGCTTTGTGGAATTCGTCATATATGGCGTCGTGGGTATCGGGATCGCCTCCAAACACTCCAACCTCACATTTCTCATAGTTGAGATGGAGTCCCACGTCTTCGCCCATTGTTCTTATGGTGTCAAATGCATGTAGAATGCCGACATCCCTTTCTCCGGGATGTCGGCGATTGTCGCGTCATCCAGATACCAGACATTGAATTCTGTCGTCACGGCTTCGATTATGGGTTGGATTACGAGGGAATACAGACCTGGACCAAGTGGGTCACCTTGTTGGACGCCGAGAAGGGAGGGGATGAGTATGTTCCCATAAAAAAGACTTGATGGATGTGCGTAAGCTTGATTGATAAAGGAGTAGATGGATGGAATTCTTTGCTTGATAATATGAAGAAGGGAATCGCGTCGTATTTCATTAAACGCGTTCCGGAAGTCTAATTTCAAAAAGGCTTTTGCAGTGTCGTGGGCGTGGCTCCAGTATCGACGTGCTGCATGAGCTCCAATTTCGGCTCCTCCTTTTATGCCGACACCAAGTTGATGGGGAGAAAAGTAGTCTACCAATTGCGGTGTAATGCGAGTGACCACGATTTTCGAAACAAGTCGACGCCATGTATTCCCAACAGCGATCGGTCTAATTCCTCCAGATTTCTTGTTGAGGGCGGTGAGCGAGGCTCCAAACAGTGTGGGGCAAACGACATCTGGGACCTTACCACAGAGGAGGACATCTGCAAAGCTACAAATTGTTTTCACTAGCTTCATCCCTGTGTCACCCGTAGATATTCCCACGAGGTCTTTTAAAATTTGAGGACGAAGTCCGTCTAAACCTCCGGCCGACCCTGGTGGGAACGATGAAATTGTGGCTAGAATTTCCTCTTCGGTTGCTTCTGCTGGGTGTTCATCCACGTCAGGCATAACTGGAAAATTCAATGGTTCGGGATGTGGAGGATGTTTGTCGAGTAAGGAGTCAATCGTGCTTTGATTATATGGAGCGACTGTGTCATCTGAGCATAAGAGACGGATGGCCCCTCGGATATCTCCGTCAGAAAGTTTTGCTTCCACTTTCTTTGAAATCATTTGTTGGGATTGCTAAGGTTTATGTATTGATGGACTTGGTTGTCGACCAGTGGGGATGGTGGTTGTGGGGTCGGTCTTCCATTTTGAAACTCTCATTTTGACCCACGATGTCAAGTTTGTCACTTTCTCAGATTTGGCTGGAACTGCGAGGACAGCATAAGGGAAGGTGAAGAGTTTGTTCCAACTTTCTGCATCATTTTTATTAATAACTTCTTCTAAAATGTTGGTAAGAGTGAATTTACTTAGTGATTTAGCTTAGTGATAATTTTTGGGTACTTTATCATAATACATAATTGTAATCCATAATATTAGCATAACTACAGTAGATATATAAATGAAATTCTTTATAACATAAATATCTCCTCCAGTTTGTGTCCTTTTGGAAGGGATCCTAAAATGGATGCTACATTCCCTCTTTGAACAGTGATACTCATTCTCTGCAATAAAAGGATGTCGCCCTCTTCTCTTCTGTGATGTTTGTGATTCTGGACCCGATTTCTTTAATAAATGACAAGCCATCTTTACCCCAAATCCCTGTTGTTTCGATGGCTATTGGGACAAAAAGGAAACTGTCCATAAGTTGTTCATATCTTTTCTTCTTCCGGTCCTCTGCTTTCTCAGCTGCTACTCCTGGGCGAATACTAGTTTGTGGGAGGTACGATGGTGCAAATGTATCGGAACACGTGAAGTCCCACACTACCGATTTTCCTCTTGCCCATGGAATAAGTGTGAGACCATCTGGACGTTTCCCATCTTCACGGGCACACCCGGCTGGTTTTTTAATTATAGGGACTCCTGCAGATCTGAGGGCTCTGGCGATGACATCGTTGGCTGCGGCATGACCGGAGTGACGTCCAGCACTATTTTTGCAACTGAGACCATGATAGCCTTTCGTGGACACTTGTTCACCACAAGAACATTTGTGGGGCTGGCAGATGTCACAGCCTAGTCGAAGAGCGGCGGCGATGCGAAACGTCTCATTAGGAAGATGTGTGCCGAGTTGAGGAGAGGGGATAGCGTTGAGCCACGCTCCAACATTGGGTTGTGACATGGCGTGATAGCGGGCTTTGTCTTCTAATGTAGTCGCATTAGTTGTGAGGTGATTGATTACACCTTCCTGTTGTGGTATTTCCCATATTGCCTGGATACCTCGTATCTCGAGTGGAGGAAGTGGCGATGAACCAAGTGATTTCCAGCGTTCCTCTCCTTCTTGGATGGCGGTATCGATGCCATGTAAATGTGGTGGAAGTAGGCGTTCCGCAAGAGGCAGGGAGCTATAGATAGACGCTAGAAAGCACGGAATCGCCACATCTATAGCGTGTCTGACCCCAAGACCACCTTTGTTGACGGGTAGAGAGGACTGTAACCAGGATTGAGGGGAAAGGGAACAGTTGATGATTCCCTCCATAGCATTTTTTAATTTGGCATCATAAAGAGTAAGGGCGTCAAATCTTCTCCATGTCGGTGCACAGCGGAGAAAGTATATTAGACGAGGTGTTGAGATGGAGGCACGGAGAAGGAAAAAGGCTGAGTGGGAGGAGAGTTTGAGTAGCCGCGTGCTAATTTTTTCCATTTCCTCGGTTTTGGCTCCTAGTATTGTAGGAATGGCTTCATCGGTGAGTGGGACACCTAACAGCATAGCACTTTCAGGAGAGATCTTTTGTATCCCCGGAGCTGTTGAACGAAATAGCTCAAAAATTTCGTCACGAGTTTGGTCGTCGACTACACCCAGAATTCCCACTTCACATTTTGTAGTGTTAAGGTGCAGACCGACTTCTGTCCCCATACGTGTGATGGTTTGCATTGCCATTAAGACTTTCTCCGGCGAATCAGCAATGGTTGAGTCATCTAAGTACCACATATTCAGCTCTGTGTCAATCAAGTCCACAATTGGTTGGATCACGAGAGCGTAGAGAGCTGGTCCGAGTGGATCACCTTGTTGAACCCCACAAAGGGAGGAGATGGGTGTTCCCGCGAAGAAAATTTCCGAGGGGGAGGAGTAGGCCTGGCTCACGAAACGGTAGAAATTTGGGAATTTTTCTCGAATGATGTGGAGAAGTGTGTCTCGTCGGATTTCATTGAAAGCATTACGGAAGTCCAATTTTAAAAAAGCCTTGGGGCTATCATGTGAGTAATTCCAGTAAATACGTGCTGCGTGGGCTGCAGCTTCAGCGCCTCCTTTAATCCCCACTCCTAGTTGATGAGGGGAGAAAATCTCGACCAGAGTAGATGACATACGGGCGACGGCAATTTTCGAGATGAGACGACGCCATGTATTGCCGACAGCGACAGGACGAATGCCCCCAGTTTTCTTTCTAAGTGCGGTCATGGAAGCCCCGAAGAAGATTGGGCAAATAGATTTTGGCACGTCTCCCCTGAGAACAAGATCTAAAAATTTTAGCATCGCGTTTAGTAAATTGGTCGCAGGTTCTCCATTCTCTGAGATGACGAGGTCCTTCAAAATCTGAGGGCGAAGAGAGTCAAGTCCTCCTGCCGATCCTGGAGCGAAACTAGAGATTGCGATGAGGACTTCTTTGGGATCAACAGGGGCCAAAACTTCTGCCTTGTCCGGTGCGTTCGGGAAATAAGTTGGCTCTGGATGTGGGGGATGCTTAGTGATGAGGGCATCCAAGGTTTCTTGATTATTTGGGGCAATTGTGTCATCAGAGGTCAATAAACGAATTGCACCCCGTACATCGCCGTCTGCCAATTTTGCTTCCACCTTCTTTGCAATAGTTTCTTGAGGACGTGAGGGTTTGGCGAATTGTGGTCGTGGTCTCGAGGGTGTTACAATTTGGGTTATTGACCACTGCAGAACTCTTGATTTCACCCATGTTGTTAAATTTTTAACTTTGTCAGATTTGGTGGGAACAGGGACGACTGCGTATGGAAACGAGAAAAGTTTGAACCATGATTCCTCCGAGTTTGTGGTGGTCACTTCCTCTATTATTTTTGCAAGGGCTTTAGCTACTTCCATCCTTGCACCTTTTGGGACTCTTCTCAGCGTGGGTACTGTATTCTTCAGTTGCGATAACTCAGCACCCCAATTTCTTGGAGCATGTGGGAGTAGTGGTGGTTGATCCTTCCATCTGATTCCAATGTATGCGTTGGCTGCGCCTCGAGTCGGGGGACGAGAAAATTTTGTGCTGGGGAAGAGTTGAAGAATATACTTTCCCACGGTGGCATCGACAACTCTTCCTTCTCCCGATGTTTGAATATGATGGGCGTAACGTGCGACTATTTCGGATTTTGGAATTAGGCCGAGAGGATCTTCAACGAGGTTGGATTTCAGCCAATATTGTGTTGTGGCGATTATGTGCTTTTTCTTGGTGGTAGTCGTTGTGTTGAGGGATGATGGAGTGACTTGAGATTGTGAAGATGTGACGGATATGACGCAAGTTGGACAAAGCCATTCCTCCTCCGGTATGATGACCACGGCGACACATGCTGTGTGATACCATTTCTGGCAGTGGTCGCATAGTATCCATTGGTCTGTGTTGCTAGCTCCTGGGCATGTGGATATCGGGCAATGTTGGTCATCATGGGTGGAGAGATTGGCAGCAGTGGTGGAAGTTGGTGTCATCATTTCATTCTCTATATTTTTGGGCGTTTTATTTTTTTTTTGAAAAATTCGAAAAAATTTTTTGAAAAATAAGCTTAGTGATTAATTTTTTTCAAAATTTAATTTTTTTATTATTTAAAAAAAAATCTTATCAAGTTACTGTCTCTTTAACAACCCTGTAAAAGTTCCTAAAGTGTGTAGGAAAAATTTTATTCGGTCTTAAATACAATCGTCATTAGAAAAACATTAAACTTTAGATTGTTTTCCTAATTTCCTTGTGTGTGCAAGAGAATAATAAGGCAATGGACGACGGCCAGCTTCCCAAAAGACAGCCACCTCCACAAATCCCGCAATATCAAGCCCCCTCCTCCTCCACCCACTACGACGCGTTTGGCAATGTCTATGAAGACGATACCACTGATGAAGACGATTCCGCCACGTGGATCAATGTCAAGCGAATCCTCAAAGTCATCCCTCGCGATAATCCTAACGATCCCTTCAAACCTCACTCTGTCAAAGCCATCTCCAAGTTGGGCGAATATGGGAAACGTCCCAGTGAGGAACTTACCCCAGAGGAGATCAGTTTGCTCCAAAATTATGGGGCCGACATCGATCTCGACACTACTTTCGACAAGACAGAACCACCAGGCGTGACCACGGACCAGATTTCCAAAGAGAGCAAGGTACACACAACAAGATTTCTACTCATTATTTAGCATGAACAACTTGAATTTTCACAATTCGCCCATATTTTCTTGCAGGGCGAGCTTGCCAAATTGCCAGAATGGCTCAGATCGTTTATAGAATCCAAATTCCCAGCAATTCAAGCTCAATACAAAAATAATACTCACACTCTTCTCAAAATGTTTGCCAATCGGTTGGAATACCGCAAAATGAAGCGGTGGGCGTTAGTTCATCCAGACGAGGATGAGACGGAAATTCGACATCAAATTGATGATGAAACTTATGGCGAAGTTATGCAAATGGAGGAAGCTCTCGTGACACGGCCGGATGATGATGACGATGATGACGAGAGGTTGAATGAGTACGAACACCGGAATCGGGAACATGTTGAGATGGACCCGTTCCGAAAAAATGACGTGTTGCGTATGTGTACATGCACACATTTGTTAGACTGACTTGCTAAGTAATACTGATTTCTATATATAAAAATGCAGAAGTTGCCCCTGAAGATGCAGACATGGATTTGTGGTCCCCACTTTTAATGCAACGTGCTGCTGACGCTTTACGCGCTGTCATGCTGGCTGGAGCGTCTGATTCCGAGGGAGAAAATCCAGAGGAAGGAGAATGGGAGGACGACAGCGACAAATTGGCAGAGATGCGGTCTAAACGGAAATCTTTTATGCAGTCGAAAGAAGATGAATCAGTTTACAAAGTAATATCACAAATTAATTACACGATGATCAGGATGTGTACCTAATGTATATGTATTTTCATTTCGCAAACCTATGTAGGGACCTCACTGGGAAGACGTGGTCGCAAGAAAACAGCATTTTGCAGAAAAAGCGGCATGGAAAGCTGGTCTAGAATTTACTCCGACAGATCAAAGGAAGAAATTTGTTCTAAAAAATTGCCGACGTTATGACGCTGACGAAAAGGAGGACAATCCAGGATCTAATAAAACTAATAAAAAACCGGACAACACAAAGAAATCAGAATCTAAATTACCTTCTGAAAAAGACGAAGACTCGGACGGATGGGAAAATGTTCACGATGATGAACTGTTTGAAAGCAATAACAGCTTAAAAAATCGTTACTATTCTACAGATCCAGGTCATCCATTGTATCGAAAACCACAAAATGAAAGTCAAAGGAGAGCGAGGCAATTTCGGGAACGTGGCGTGGGAAAACGACCATCCAGAGTTTACGTCAAAGATCCGTGTAAAGGTCCAGTGTGAGTTGCATACATTTGACCGTAACCCAAATTATACATTTTAAAGTGTCCTACGAATCTTGGATCAAATTCGTAGGTCTCACGTGACTCGCGAACTCCATCAAATCCGCCCCACTGAAGGGGTTCACGCCTACGTCAACTTTATCACGGGTTCCGTCGGATTTCGAAATTTTATTTTGATCGTCATCCTGTTTAATGCTGTGCTACTTGCGGCAGAAACTGGGGAGCGGAAGAGAGGATTTCAAGTCATTTTTGACGTTTTCGATAGTGTATGATCTAAGTAGTATGAAATTGCAAGAATTGTATTTATTAATAGTTTGTTGTATTAAATAATTGTATCAACTAAATTTATAGATATTTCTTTCCGTCTACTGTGTTGAGTTTGTGCTAAAATGTTACTCAAATCCGCTGGAATATTTTCGATCGGGATTCAATTGGTTTGACTTCTTCATTCTCATCTTCTCTCTCGTCAAGGTATTTAATTTTCGGATCAGGCAATAATTCTTCACAAAATGTGTACCCTTAATTACTGATAATTATGGAATATATGTATGTAGGCGTCCTTTGAATGGTCTGGGAATGGCGCATCTATCCCCTTCCTCCGATTTTTTATTGTTATCCGTGCCCTTCGAGTCTTGCGTGGTGTCAGCTTATCCATTCATACTCAAGTAAATTCATCGATATAATTTTTGTCTCATGTTCATGTTTTACCACTAATTGTAAATAACTGATTGATCTGTACAGGTCCTCGTCACCGCACTCGTTGCCACGCTTAAGAACCACGTGCTTTCTGTCGTAATTCTTCTCGTCTTGCTTATGTATATCGCTGCAATTGTCGCATTTTACTTATTCTCCGATAAACCTGTTCTCCATGAAACGTGGGGCGAGGTACCGATGGGAATGTTACGTTTATTTTCATTTGTAACGGTAAGGTTCATGTCTAACCTTGAAATGTTTGTTATAAAGTCATCATCACAAATTTTACATGTCAGATGGACGGATGGACCGAAGTCATGGAAGAATTCGAAAAAGCCAATATGCTCCACGGGGGACGAATGTTCTGCCTGATTTGCATTGTTTTTGGAAATTTCGTCTTTTCCAACATTTTCATTGCCATTATTATCATGCAAATTTCAGAAGCAACTGACAGTTTCAGGGTATAATTACTAGTTACTTAAATACTTAATGTTAGAATTTAACGAATCTTCTTATTCTTATTTGTCACCAGAAAACCCAAACTGACGAAAAAGAATCGTCCGTATTTTTAAAACAAGAATCCGTCTTCCGTCGTAAGTACATATTATACATTTAAACCATTTGAAGTTAACCAAAGTTGAGCACAATTTTGCATGATAAAGTCTGAAAATTGGTAGTAGTCGTGGCCATGTAAGAGTCACATCATTTTTATAAATTTATGCATTTAGGACAAAAACTGGACATGCGGCAACTCCTCTCCCGACACAAACTTGGCATTTCAGAAGACTTTTACGAACTAGGGAGCAGATTTGTACGACGCCTCCAACACGATGACCTCGTGGATGCGCGTGACGTAATTTTCTCTCCGTTGTGGGTCGACTCATTTTACAAAGCTATGCAAAGGGCGCATCATACTTCAAATGTGTAAGTTCGCTGTCATATTAAACTTTATTTCCGACCCCATAGGCGCAGCCAAAATGAAATTAGTGGATAAAATTAATTATCTATTTAGTCTAATGAATCTCCACCGAAAAATGTCTGACCGTCTCGTGAAATTAAATAATTTGTACAATGACGGAAAGTCTGTCACACGAGGAATAAGCCGTGCCCGGTATAATCGCTATTTGGACGTAAAAGGGAGACTACAACTTCTCAAACAACAGTTTCTCGATTTGCGAAATGTCCCTGAGAAGAGACCAATCCGGGTGAAACTCCCGGATTTAGTTTCTACCGAGGAACACGCCAAACCCCCTCCCAGACCACCACCCATGCCGAAACGTCCACTATGGAAGGATGACGGAAAGAATAGGTCGGGATGATACACTTTCTCTCCTCGCTTTCACAATTTTGCTTTCTCTTTATTTTATCAAATATGTATCCGCAGCTACGTTACGTATTAACAATTAATTTGCTTTATGCTTAAAAATTATTTGCAGCGTTTCGTTTATAAACAATTTATTTTGTACTTGAATAAATCCAAACTTTTAATCAGTCTAAACTTAATGGAGAATTGATCTTTATAAAACATGCAAAAAATCGCCCCTGAAGATCCTACCCCGAGCAATGATAAGTTCCCCTCCTTCCCCCAAATACGGTACATCCCTCCCGAAATCGCACCCACAGTAACGCCTTCGTTCCGATTTTTTGGCGTAAGGATAAAAGATCATCCCGAAAATGAGCCGCTAGTCGCACCTGCCCCAACAGCCGTTCAATCATCAATATCTGATGACGAAGATCTCGATGACGAGGATGTTCAAGAGCGTCCCCGTTTCATACAACCGACGGAAGTCGTATTTAAAAAAGGCCGAGTCGCTGGTCTCGCAATTGACCCCGATTTACTCGGGCTCATTCAAGAACAGCAAACATCACAGCATCTTTGCAGGGTTGGTCACTTAATTGAATCAGTTTGGGAAAGTAATAATTTCAAAATTTTTGCAAGTAGTGCTGCGTTGACGGTTCGTTCCAAATTAGTTTGGATTTAAAAACAGATTTGAAAACCCAAGGTAAATTCATCTTTAAGATTTTGATGATTGAAAACTTTCTCCGCTTGCTGCCCCTGATGACTTTGGCTTTACAGTACTTTGTGTACGTAAGTATTTCCTGCACCGTTCGCTTCCCGTTTAAATTATTAATTCTAAAATTGATAAAGTTGATCGTCATCCTTATTTTTTAGGAAATCTATGCACGACTTTTTCTATGAACAATTAGCCTTCGTATTTCTCTTTCTTGTGTAAGTTTTAACAATTTAAAACTACAAATGAACAGAGATTCAAAGCAACCTTTTCTGCATAGAATTTCCTACATCACGCTAGTCTGGGCGATAGTATTTAGCGACTTGTCATCCTTTCATCCCGCCGATAATGTCCTTCTCGTCGTTAAGGTATACAAATATCCAAGAAAAATCCTACCTGCTTTCCAATACTTTGAATACTTCAATTTTTTACAGTCCTTAGCCCAAAGCATGGTTTGCGTGTTTATGACCGCCGTCATGGAGCGGTGGATGGTCATGTGGATGATGGCTTACGAAGATTATCCAAATGCGGGAGCTCTGATTAACGGTTCGTTAAGCAAACATACGTAATTAGCGATTAAGAGCAGAGTTGCTTAAACACATTTTTAAATAATTCTAATTGTATAATAGTATACAAATCAAGGGCAAATCCACTCTGGAGGCACACTTATCCAATTGTCGTCCCCATGTTTTTAATCGACCTGAGCATCGTTTACTTAATCGTGTCGCTGTTCCTTTACTTCTGCAAAGTTCGTATAGTATTAAATGATTTTATGCTCAAAATCAATTCGTTGATCCACATTTCGTAATAAATTATACAAATTTTATCCAGGGCAATATAAAAAAAGATTGGGTTCTCTGGCTCGCAGTTGTGACTCAACTTGGTCTCACAATTTCTCATTATTACACTGAGAATTTGAGCTATATGAGGCGAGTCCTTATTTTCGGCCCATTTCAGTGGGACGGGTTACAACTTATGTTATCCTGCTGGTCAGGAATTTGGTGGACACAAGTGAGTTGCTGCATACATTTTCAAGTTGTCATTTAAATGCCATGTAAAATTTATTTCCTTTCAGTGGCGTCTCTACAATTTGAGGCTTCTCTTAATTGGAAAGAAGTGGGACGTGACTTCATCCAAGTTTAAAAAAGCGGCCTTAGATTTTTGCATGTGACACTTTAAGGGTTCTTCTCTTGTTGTGTGCTTATAAATATTGTTGAAAGTGAGACAAAAAAAGTGACATATGAACAGAAAATGGCAAGGTTTTCGTTTTTGAGGAGTATTTCTTTTTTGGGGCTCATCTTTGTATGTACATATATTCAAGTAGTTTAAAGATTCTTGTCTTTTCCATGTTTTTTTTTTGCTGCAATAAACCGAATTTATTTTAAATAGTGGGCCCAAATCGGCAAAATTTGGGGAAAATTTTGTCCTCACAGTACGCATGCAATAAAAATGTCATGTCATTTTATCTCAATCCTTCTGCAGAAAGGAGTTTTGCAGGTATTTAAAAAACCTTTTTTTATATTCTTTCCTGCTGTTAAGGAACGATGAAACAATTCACTCTGGATCTGAGCAAGTGACACAACGGAAATTCACGTGCCAAAAACCATAAAACAGTAAATCTACTTGACATCAGAAGAGAGGTTACATTTACTAAATTCAAGACAATTTACACCATTGTGCACTGCAAGAAGAAATAAGACGTCTCAATTTCCCTGATATTTATCTTTGTCGTTTCAAAAATTTCCAGCTCCTCCAACAAAAGATTTTGTTTTACTAAACCAAACTCATCTTATCGCATAAAAAATCAGCTTCTTAGAATTTTTACTTTAAACTGATTTAAAAACTACAATTTAAATTCCAACCGAGCAGATTTCAGTTTTATGTATACATTTTTCTGCCACTTTGTATTTACAGAAATGCCGTCCAATTACAGACACATTTTCTCCATCTTAAATAAGTCCTGTAATAAGCAGTAATTCCCATGAAACTACGAAATTCTTGTCGTCGTCCCTCCTTCAAAACCTTATTAACCAAAACAAGGACACCCCATTAAACCCGCAAGAGGAAGACTTTGTCTGGCTTTATTTTTCGAAAAGTTTTAGTACTTTTTTGGTTTTGGTACAACAATGTCGAGATTGTGTGTGTGTGGATGGGAAAGAAGAAAGCGGAGATGAGCACTATTTTAGTACCGACGTTAACAAGAAGGAACCACCCCTGAGGAGGAAAATGAGATTCTAAAATCCCAAATTGGTTTCACATTTCGGAATTTTATTATTCTCCTCGGAGCAAGATTGTTACACAAAGTTGAAAAGTTGTAATTTGTACGGGGGCAAAGGTTTTAGCAACAGTAAAATTTGGCTTCTTCTTCTCCCCGATCGAATTATGAAGCAACTAATAATCTCTTCTTTAATTATGTATCGACTCTTCTCGGCTAGGTTTCTTCACTGTACAATGATCGTCTTTGAAACATATGTATACGCTTGAAAATTTGATAATATTTTTGTCTACAACATCATAGAGCAGATCAGGTTTACTGTATGTAGGTTGTCGCTTACTGCTAAACTTGTACCCTAATAATGCAAAGTAAATATGTCGGGGTGGAGGAAAATGGGCAGTAAAACGAGATTAATGGATCTTTCAAGTTTGTAACAATTTTTATGTTTACGGCCATCTCGTGAATTTCGTTCCGTCCCTTCACAAAACTTGGACCCACCGACATAAAATTACTTTCGGGTTAAACACGCTTTCAAAATGGGAAATGTTAAGAATATTTTCAAAGCGATGCGATGTACAATTCAGAGGTTGCGTAAAATATCACTTGACTTATCTGGATGACCAAAATGCACAAATTGTCAATATTTTCAGACCTTAGTATTTTTGTTTAAAGATAAAATGTAATAATATTTTGTATTGGTTTTCACACATGAAATATGGACAATCCCTCCGAAAAGAAAGAAAATTACAATGAAAGACTAAGCGAAAACTGTACTAAAATTTTGAAAATCTTTGTACTTGTCTTTTATAGTTTGTTCTCTCTTCTTCCCTCAACAAAAAGATGAGCATGGCAAAATATCCATCTGCAATATTCCTTACGTATGATAAAATAAAACCATAAATCTAAACACAAAATATAACCAAACACAGAAAGAGATGACAGGACACATGAAATAGTTTGTGTAACGTAAGTGGCTGAAGATGAGCAGTTTTACTAGTTTCATTCCATTTTTATAGTCTGTCTCACATTTTATTGCCAATTCTGTACAATTTGAATCTCACCTTCAATATTTTATACTTTTCTTTACGACCAAACTAAAGTTGCAATGTCGTGTTGTAAGTTCATACATACATATTTTATCATAAAAAGATTTCTAAATAAATTGTTTCGCATTGCTTACTTTCAAATTGAAGAGACTTTGTGAGCTACTGTAGAAAATAAGTTTCAAAATACAAAAAAAATTGTTTCTGTAGAACGAATCATTTTTTTTTGTCGGTTTTAGAATTGTACTCTTCGCAGAACAGTTAAACGCTTAGTTTTATAATTTAACGTTCTCATATAATCCAACCGCAAGTGGCGATTTAACTTTTGTCGCATAATTTGTAATGGCCAATTACTTAAGGGACAATTAAACCAGGAATAGTCAATGAATCCATCACTAACGGAGGAGAAGAACAAGAGGACATAAAATTAGAACGATCTCTTAAAATTTGGCTTACTTCCGATCCATCATTTTATAGTTATATCTTGTTAGGCAGTACTGCATCATAGCATTAATAAATAAATGATATACGAGTACTAATTAAAGTAGTGTCAATATTTATATGGATGGACATAATTTCAGTTCAAAATCACAAGTCCGGTCAAAGAAAATATAATAATTCTCATAATAAACTCAACTGTACACAATATTGATTTATGACTTCTTAATATAACAATTTTACAAATATCTCGACATTATTTGCATTACGCTCAATTTCGTGACTTTTTCTTACCGTGTGATAAGTATTTTTCTTTTCTTGCTCTGAGCTTTCCTTGTGCGTGGGTGAAGAGAAATACAATTGCGAGTTTGAGTAGTGCGGAGGTGGAGTCAGAGAAAGGGTGCCGAGAATTTGCCAAAATGTCCAATCCCAACCTTTTTCCTTCTTTCTTTCTATCTGTTCCTTTTGCAAATTCTCTTCAAGCAAACCTGCGCCCAAAGCGGATCGCAGTGTGGGAAATGTAGTAGTAACTCCTCCAAGAAAATAGACATTCGTTTCACGTAGGATTCTTAAAGTTTGAGAAAAACAGGACAAGGGTCGCTGAAAATAAAACATTTCGGTGGTCCAACTTTCCCTTTCACTTTGACACTGTCGTCGTCCAGCAAATATTCTCGAGTCGTAGGTCAAGTTTTAAAAAAAATGTGTAGAGCGAGACAAATCAGGAAATTATGCCAATAACAATCTCATTATAATTAAAAAGTG